CTATTGCTTGAATGGTATTAAATCAGGGTTGCTGCTTCGAACAGCGAACAGCGCAAAAGCATTGAGGAGTGTGCTTACCATCTCTGTCCTCCAGGGTTCTCCCCCTCCCCCCCTCCCCCGTCCCCAGGACTCTTAGTGAATACCACACCTAAAATTCAGGCATTCAGCAGGCTGTCTTAAATGTGATGATTTAGATTGGGTGATACATAAATCTAAACTAATCCAGTTAAGGATAACTTAATTAAGGTAATAAAATTCGCCAGCATTTTTCTGCTTCTAGAGGAATATTACATTAGAGCATTCAGATAATTGCACCCTCTGCAAAAACAGGGGCAGTAAAAAAAGAAAAAAGAAAAAAGAAATCACAGTCTTAAATGTGAATGTGACCTGAGAGTTCATCAATGCTACCCTTCTAGTCCAAATAATATACATCTACATCAGAATTTTAACATGTTAATTGAAGTGGACATGACTTTAAATACAGAGCACTTTATTCTAGGGTAACTGTTTTTATCTCACAGAAAGAGTACTAAGTTGCAGGTGGGATGTTGTTTTTGCATAATATTGGTCCAGGTAAACAAGTGCAGAAGTGCTATTCCTAATATACCATTGAAACATTTTCTGTAAATGTAACAATTTGAGTTTTAGTTTAGAGCCAGACTAGTCTATAGTTAAACTTTTAGTTCTTTAAATTGTTTTAAGTTTTGTTTTATTTGTATTACTTGAGATCTGTTTTCAATTAATAATATAAAATGATTATGTTTTAAAACAGGGGTTTGTTAATATTTGTCTTTAAAATATTTAGCTCATATATATTCTGAATATAATATATTTTATATATACAATAAATTTCAAGGTGATATTCTTTTTCTTCATGCAACTGATCACCCTTTTAATATGTTCTTTTATTTCTGAACTTGGACAAAGGATGTAAGATTTCTTAAACTGCAGGTCACATTTCATTTTAATATATATGCTTTTTGGAAATGGCAAAATCCCTTAGGGCTGTGTGATTTTCACTGTTGTGTGTGTTTAAAGTTCATAGCCAAATGAAACTGAATAAGTCACGGAACACATTTTCTTTCCATTCTTGAAAAATGAAAATTGTTATAGGTCAATTGGTGAGAGGTCTTGTCTCTATCTTATATGACTTGCAATTTGTTTTTCATTTATTCTAAGAAAACACAATTCATTTTACATTTGCTTGTCATTTACATGGTTTTTTTAGTCATCTCCTTTAACATAAGGAGAAACTATTATTCCTTGACTGTGCCTTCCTAAATATACTGACTAATATTTATAAATATGCATGTATCTTACCTTGCAAGAGTTACTATCCTAAATTTCCAGGGCCAAGTGGGGGAAGTCATTGCTCACAGACCATTGTGATTATATGTTCTACTCATATTCAAAAGAATATTAACTAACGGGAAGAAGAGAGCATAGCTAAGCTATGAACAAATCTGCCTTGTGATTTTAGGATCACACATACCAATGCACACTCCAGAAAGGGCTCTTTTCAAATTCATGGCAACAGCACAAACTAGGAGTCACACAGGCCTGGAGTCCCATTCTAATCGACTGTGTGGTGCTGGCTGTGTACCCCGACAAGTGCTTTGTAACTTTTCTGAGGTCCATTTTTCCCAGTTGATAAAATGTGCTCACTAAGCCCATCTCATGGGACTGCTGTAAAGAACAGAAAGGAAGGTGCTTGGCAAATCACTAGTGGTGTAATATAAACCAGCTCTCTTAGAAACAAACAAACAAACAAACAAAAACCCCCAACAACCTTGATTTGCCTTGATTTGTACTGTGGTATAGATCCTTCTACCATGGCCAGTTTCCAAGTATGAATGATTTAACAGCCACCTGGTAAAATTCCTGAATATTTAACAGTCCCCCGGCACCAGCCCGCAAGGGACAGCTAGCCCTCAATAAATGGCAGTAATTATTTCTGAAGAGTTACCTTTTGTATTCCATTGATCTAGGAAACATTTTCCTGTTTGGTAAAATCCTGTATAGATGGAGGGTGTTACAGCTAAGGGAAGAAGAGTAATTTATAATGTTTAAATATTAATGATTTCAAATAACCAAAAAGAGCTACTGTCACTATTTTGAAAGTAGGTGAAAAATTTATAAGAAAACAACATTTAATAATAAGAAATGTGGTAATTAAATGATCTAAAAGTAATAGGTATCACTTTGTAAAGTGTTCTTATGTGAATTACACTTAATATTAACTTTTTCAAGATTAGTTAGAGATGACTCAACTTTTCTGGTTTAAGATTATTTAATCTGCACAAAAAAAATTCTAACAGGAAAATTGTGCATTTGATACCTAAACAAATAGAAATAAACTGGCAGCCATTATTTTAAAGCCCAATGTTTTACAAAAAAATCTTCTTTTAGTTTTCTCCAATAGCTGTTTTATATCATTCTAAGATGATTTTTTATTATAAAAGTTTGCTACAATCATATTTTTTGTTGTTGATGAAATATTCCTTTACTCAGTAACTGGTGATTTTTTTTTTGTAATAATAAGACTTGCGTGTATAGTCTGACATGAGGGACAACGGATGACGTACTTACACTGACATTGCCCTAGAACATCTGAACATATTAAGCCTGAAAATACTTTTCATGTAACAATGAACATCTCGATATGTAAAGTGCAAAATTGTGGATGATCTAGCAGGAAATTGTGAGACTTGAGAGCAGTTGATGGATCAGTTTGTGCTGAGAGCACTGCTTCCCATGTGCGTTTCCTGGGCCACAAACAATGCCGGGACAACAAGCCTAGGAATGTATGTGGCACGCCCAGAGGCATTCCATGGGTAACAGTTTCCAGTGAAACTGCTGTTCATTTCAACAAGAGGAGTCTGTAGTGCTGAGGTAAAGGAAGAGAGGATATTTTCTATGTTAATCTCTCTCACAAAGTAGCAAATCACTGAAACTATGGCTATGCATGGTATTGCCTACAATACCAGGTTTGCGTATCCAGAACAGGGCTGTGAGGAAGACCTGGGGTGACTGCGTATGTTAAAGCCCCCAAAACTCTCCCATTGGAGTGAAAGATCTTCATGGTGGCATGTGGCATTGTTTCTCTGGGGCTGCTTATGTCTCTTTCTATATGCCTGTGACTGTGTGCACATGTACTATTCCTAAAAATTTAATAGATGCGCTTGAAGATATATTCCATGAGGTAATCAAGTGGCATTTTGGGTGTTTGATCAGATTTGGGGAAAGAAGAACTGTATTTTCTTCCTTTCACTTGTATAAATTAAAATATTTCTCAAGATGTGCATTGTTTTTATGATTATCACAGTCCTAGTATGGGGGCAAAGGTTACATGGTTCAGCTGATAAACATTTTTTCAGGTACATATTATATATTGAAGTAAAGTAAAAGGGATAAATCTTTTTTTTTTCTGTTGACACAAAATAAGATTACTTGAAGTCCTTGTGAAAAGATACATGATCAGCCTTCTGGACAAGCCAGCTGGTATGTCTATAGATGAAATCCAAAAAGATGTGAGAAACATCAATTGGCAGGTCTTTCACTTGTCCACTTCTTGGACTCTTTCCCACAAAAACTAATTCATTAATTTAAAGATTTGGCATATTACAAGGTAATGGTGGAAGCTTTTCCTGAAGTCAATACCTATCAGAAATCAAAATGAGTATATTTCAAGGATTGCAGGAGCAAGGTTTCCATAAGCAATTCAGAGCTAATTCTTCTTCTTTTTACCTTTCTTTTATCCCCCATATCAGATTTTTTTCTTTTTTATGTAATCTACTCTGCAAGAAAAAAAAACCCCGCTAAAATTAGGACAACTATTTAGAAAATGAAAACATATTTAGGATGTATAATATATTTGAGATATTAATGTTTAGGATATTAAACTATATTTGGCAGGTTATTTTTAATAGCATATTTCTCTTCTGAAGTATTTTGGGTAGAAGGAATGAAAATATGATAAATCCTACTTTACTAAAACCTAGACTTAGGGCTTTTCTTTTAAATGAAACAGTGCCTAACTAGAAAGTATTAATTTGAGTTAGATACATAGGCTTTGGGACATAATAATTACAGTGATTCCAGTCACTGAGTATGTCTTATCTGTTTGTCACCACCTTATACCATTGATCCCAGAATAGCTCTATAAGTCAGTGTTTTTTTATTATCTTTTCCCTATGTAGTTAAGGAAACCAAGGCTGAGAAATTTGAAGTAATTTGTCCAAATTTGCAATGCTGGTAAGAGATTACATAAAGGCTAACTAATGGAGAGTTCATATTCTTAACTACCTAAATTATAAATTATACCCTAGGAATCCCAAAATACCAATTCAAAAGAACCTATGCACCCCAATGTTCATAGCAGCACAATTTACAATAGCCAAGTGCTGGAAGCAACCTGAGTGCCCATCAGTAAATGAGTGCATCAAAAAACTATGGTACATTTACACAATGGAATACTACACAGCAGAAAGAAAGAGCTACTACCCTTCATGACAGCATGGATGGAACTGGAGAGCATTATGCTAAGAGAGATAAGCCAGGAGGTGAAAGACAAATACCCATCTCACCTATAAGTGGAACCTAACCAACAAAACAAAGATGCAAGGAAAATATGACCAGCAACATTGAAAGGAAAAGAAACCAACAGAGACAAGAGGGAAAGAGGGAAAGGGTTTAGCGGGGAAAGGAAGAGGAAGGGTCAAATCAAGGAACATGTATGAAGGACACATAGACAGAGCCAAGGTGGGGAGAGATTGAGGTAGGAAGGCGGGGGTGGGAGGAGGAGGGGAAAGTGGTGGTGGTAAATGGAGACAAATGTATTTGAACAATAAAAATTTAAAAAAAAAGAAAAAAATTATATTGTCCACCAAAATTCGTAATTTAACATTTGCTGTGTTGGGCAGTGTGTTGATTGTCCTGTTTTTGTGTGGTTGCTGGCACAGGATCTCTGAGTAATTGACACCTTGTTTTTCTGCCTGTAGGTCCCTGGGGAAGATGTACAGGAGACTGTGGCCCTGGAGGACTCCAGACTCGTGCACTGTGGTGCTTTCACTTTGAAGGTTGGACAAGTCACCTCTCTAACTGTGATGAGAACAATAGGCCTCCAAAGGAAAGAAGCTGCTTCCGAGTCTGTGACTGGCACAGCGACCTATTCCAGTGGGAGGTTTCTGACTGGCACCACTGTGTGCTTGTTCCTTCCACCCTAGGCCAAGCCAAGCCTCGCACTGCAGAGTGTGTGACGGCTCAGCATGGACTGCAGCACCGGACTGTGCGCTGTGTTCAGAAGTTGAACAGAACCATGGTTGTAAATGAAATATGTGAACACTTTGCCCCGCAGCCCCCCACAGAACAAGCTTGCCTCATTCCTTGTCCCCGGGATTGTGTTGTATCCGAGTTCTCACAATGGTCCAAGTGTAGCAACGGATGTGGGAAGCAACTGCAGCACAGAACTCGTGTGGCCATTGCTCCTCCTCTCTATGGAGGTTCTCGGTGTCCCAATCTGACTGAATCAAGAATCTGTGATGTTCCCATTTCCTGTCCTCTCGGGGAAGAGGAATATACTTTTAGCCTTAAAGTTGGACCATGGAGTAAATGTAGACTGCCTCTTCTTAAGGAAATTAACCTAAGTAGAAGAACTGTTGTGGATTTTAGCTCTGATTCAAAAGAACCAGTCACCTTTAGACATCAAAGTTACAAGCCACATCACCATGCCAAACCCTGGGACATAGAGATAGGTTATCAAACCCGGCAGGTTTGGTGTACAAGAAGTGATGGAAAAAATGCTATGTTAAGGTAGGAGGCCTTCTGTGTATTATATCTTACACTCACCTAAATATTGTACAGTATATTTTTATAAGGTTTCTTTCTGATTTTCTACAAAAGGAAAATTGTAATTAGGTTTGGAGTTTGAGATTTGAGTTTTATTTGAGAAGTCTTCTATATCAATCATAAAAATTTCAGAGTATAGACCAGACAATGCTGTCAATTCTTGCAAAATTGGTAGTGCAGCTATATTGGATGTCATATATTTTCACATTTTATCAAATATTAACCAGGTAAAACAAAAGTCCTTTGTTACTATAGTCACAAAAATATGATAATATTCAAGTTCACTCTCAAATGTATGATATAAATTATTTAAATTGTCATTTAATTATCACTTTTCATAATATTTATGTCTCTTAAACTTATTTGTTTTGTTTGTTTAGCTTTGTGTTCATGATTAAAAAGTTTTCTTTTTATAATTGAGATGTATAATTATAGTAGTGATATTGAATAATATCAAGAGTTAATCCAAGGTTGCTTTCTTTGGCATTGATTTGTTAAAAATATTAGCCTGAACAGCAAGAATTAGAATTACAACCCGTAGAAGGAATGACCAAAACTTTTCAAAGCAATAATTTAGGTTTCAAAATTATCTGTAATTGTTTTATTTCAAATTCTAGTATAAAGCATCATGACATAAGCCCAGAGAACTATGTTGAAAGTAATATTTGTTTAATTTTCCTCCAGAAGGTCTTAAATGGAAGCACTGGTATATCGTCAAGTTTCTTCCAAATTGAGATGCCTTTCAACAGTATTTAAATTACCAAACAATGAAACACTCATCTTTAGAATTAATCATTACCATTAGTTACTGTTTTCTAGGGATCCACAGTTGCCTGGGAGAAGCTCAAAAGGTTACCTCTGCAATTCACGAATGAAGTCATGTGAGGATTTTTTTTCTTCAGTTGACTTCACAAATGAACATATTTTATCTTTGATGCTCCATTCTGATTTATGCCATATACAGTTTTAAAGTACACTTAAGATTGACTTTCTGCTTTTTTATTGTCTGTCTGTATGAAGTCCACAAGATTAAGGAGATCATTTGGGTGATTATTGTTTGAAGATGCATGTGGAATTCTGTAAAAACATTGTTTTCTTAATATTCCACATTAGATTATCACATAAATTATTTTTATTTTGCTTGTTTATATCATTTTCTTTAAAAAATATTAATAGACTTTATTTTTAGAGCAGTTTTATATTAACAGAAAAATTGAGTGGAAAATACAGTTCCCTTATATCTTCTCATCACTCTCCTCCACACACCTTTTCACACACATACCTTGCATTAGTGTAGTGTATTTGTTACAATGGAGGAACCAATATTGATACATTACTGTAGCCCACAGTACTTTGAAGTTCACTGTTGTGTTATACATTCTATGGGTTTGTACAAATGTATAATAATGTGTATCTATCATTGTTGTAGCATACAGAATAGTTTCACTGCCCTAAAAATCTCCCGTACCCCCTCTGTTAGTGTTCCTCTTCTTCTTCTTAAACCCCTCTTAACCAACGATCGTTTACGTCTCCACAGTTTTGCCTTTCCCAGAATGTCATATAATTGGATTAATGCAGTATACAGCATTTTCTGTTTAGATTCCTTCACTTAGCAATATACATTTAAGGTTCCTCCACATCTGTTCAGGGCTTGATAGCTCAGTTCTTTTTATCACTGAGTATTCCATTGTCTGGATGTACCACAGTTTATTTATCCATTCCCCTATTGCAGGACATCTTGGTTGCTTCTAAGTATTTTTAATAACATATAAAGCTTCTATAAACATTCATGTCCCGATTTTTATGTGGACATATGTTTGCAGCACATTTGGGTAAACACCAATCAGCACAATCCATGGATAGTATTATAGTAAGAAGAATAAAGTAAGAATTTAGCTTGTAGCAAATTGCCAAAATACCTTTCAATGTGTCTGCATAATTTCTCATCCCCAAGAGCGATGAATGAGAATTTCAACTGCTTCACATACTGACCAGATTTATTGTTCTCAATGGTTTGGGTTTTAGCCATTTTAATAGATATGTAATGGTACCCTGTTGTTTTAATTTTCAAACCCTTAATATATGATGTTTGCTATCTTTTCATATGCTCATTTGGAATCTGAAAAAGATGCCAAATCTTTTGGTGAGGTGTCTCTTTAGATCTCTTGCCCATTTATTGAGTTGTAGATTTTTTTCTTATTGTGGAGTTTTAGGAGGGTTTTCTTTGAACTATATATTTTTAATACTGGCTCTTATCAGGTACCTGTTTTGAAAACATCTTCCACTTTGTGACCAACCTTTTTATTCTCTTAACAATGTCTTTTATAAAGAAGTTTTTCACTTAAATGAAATCTACTTTATCAATATTTTGGTCAAGGATCATTTTTTGGTGTTAAATCTAAAAGAAAAATCATCCAAGCCAAGGTCAACTATATTTTTTCTGATGTTATTGTTTAAAAGTTTTATATTTTACACTTAGGTTTATGATCTAATTTGAGTGAAATTTTCTGAAAGGTGTAAGGTCTTGTTTCATTGTTTTCTTTTTTGTTGTTGTTGTTGTTCTATCACCATTTGTTGAAAAAGACTATCTCTACTGAATTGCCTTGTTCCTTTGTCAAAGATCAGTTGACTATTTGTGTGGATGTATTTCAGGATTATCTTTATTGCATTGATCCATTTATATATCCCTTGACAATTATACACTGTCTTAAATAGTAAAGCTTTATTGGAAGTCTTGAAGTTGGGTAATATCAGTCCTCTAAATTAATTTTTAGCATTGTGTTGACTGTTCTGGGTCTTATCTCTTTTCATATAAACTTTAGAATCATTTTGTCCATGTCCTCAGAATAATTTTCTTGTAATATATAGATCAGTTTGGTAAGAACTAACATCTTGATAATATTTAACCTTCCTATTTATGTACATGCTCTAACTCTTTTTATTTATGTGAAGTTTCTTTGATTTCTGTCATCAGAGTTTTGTACTTTTTTCACATAAATCTTGTACATATATTTTTAGATTGATACTTAAGTGTTTCACATACTTTTGGTGCTAATATAAGTGTATTGTGTTTCTAATTTCAATTTCTATGTTTTCATTGCTGGTATATAAGATAACAATTGACTTTTGTATCTTAGTCCTGTATCCTGCAACCTTATTATAATTACTTACTAGTTTTAGGAGGCTTTTTCATTGTTGTGGCTGATTCTTTGGGATTATCTGTATAGACAACTATATCATTTGCAAACAAAGAGAGTTTCTTTTCTCCCTTTTCAATCTCTATACCTTTTATTTCCTTTTTTTGTTGTTGTATTATCTAGGACTTCTATTATGGTATAAAATAGGAGTGCCCATTCCTAATCTTAACAGGAAAGCATCTGGTTTCCCACCATTAAATATGATGTTAACTGTAGGATTTGTATAGATGTTTTTTATCCCATTGAAGAAGTCACCCTCTATTCCTAGTTTGCTGATAATTTTTATCATGTATCAGTGTTAGTTTTTGTCAAATACCTTTTTCTGTATGTGTAGATAGGATTATATGATTTTTAAAACAAATTCTCACCTGAGGATACCTAGGATATGCTTATTGAATTCAGGAAGAAAGGGAGAGGAAGCGGGGGAGGGCGGGAGGTGGGGGGGCAGGGAGAGAGAAGGGGAGAGAAGCCAATATGAGACAGAAACATTTATTGGTTGCCTCCTGTATAATCCCTGACCAGTGACCAAACCCACAACTTTCGGGTATATAGAACAATACTCCAACCAACTGAGCCACTTGTTCAGGCCATGATTTTTTTTTCTTTAGTCTGTTGATATGAATTTTGAACAAGCTTTGCATACCTGGAATAAATCACACTTGCTTGAGATAAATTATATATTTTTTACTTACTGATTTTAGTGAGGGGGTCAGAGAGAAAAATAGAGAAACATTGATTTGTTGTTTCATTTATTTATGGACTAATTGGTTGATTCTTGTGTGTGCCCTGAATTTGGATTGAACCTACAGCCTTGGCATACTGGGGTGATGTTCTAACCAATGAGCTAGCCTCCCAGGGTGAGGTGTATTTTTTAATATATATTATTTGCTAATGTTTTGTTGATATTTTTTCATACATATTCATGAGAACTATCAGTCTTAATTTTCCTTTCTTGTAATGTCTTTTTCAGTTTTGGTATTACTGAACGTTTGGTATTACATGAGGCATTACACTGGCCTCATAAAATGGATCGGGAATTATGTCCTCTGCTTTGATTTTCTGAAATAAGTTGTAGAGAATTAGGATTTTTTGTCTTGAATGTTTGGTGAAATTTAACAGGGAACCCATCTGGTCCTGATGCTTTATGTTTTGGCAGGTTATTAATTATTGATTCCATTTCTTTAATACTGTAGATCTATTCAGATTGTAGATTTCTCCTTCTGTGAGTTTTAGCAAAGTGTGTCATTTAAGGAACTGATTTATTCACCTAAGTTATCAAATTTGTGGGCATAGATTTATTTATAATATGCCTTTATTGTCCTAATGTCCAATGGGTCATTAGTGATGACTCCTCTTTCATTACTGATGTTAGTATGTTATATCTTCTCTCTCTTTTTTCTCTTAGTTAACCTATCCAGAGGTTCATCAATTTTATTGAACTTTTCAAAGAACCAGCTTTTGATTTCAGTTAGTTTTTAAATTTATTTTTGTTTCCAATTTTATTTCAGCTCAATTTTTATTATTTAATTCTGCTTACTTTGAATTTAATTTGCTGTTCTTTCTTTAGTTTCCTAAAGGAAGTTTAGGTTATTGATTTTAGATATATATTCTTTTCTAATACGCAAACTGACTACCACACATTTTCCTCTTAGCACTGCTTTCACTACATTCCACAAATTTTAATTTTGGTTTAGTTCAAAATATTGTTTAATTTCTGGCATGTTTTCTCCAGTCTATGCATTATTTAAAAGTGTGTTGTTTAAACTT